AGCTAGCAGGGGAAATGCGACAGATGACACACGGACACAGCCTCTGGCGCCTTCATCGCCTGAAGCCCAATATAGTTGAGTGAAATGTGGAAATGGTCACAAAAGCTAAAGTGACCTTCGGCTGCAGTGAACAGATGAGACTGTGACTAGGCTGAGGCAGGTGGCAGGTCTGAGCCTCACACCTGAAAAGGGAGTTTGATGAATCGGACGGACTCTGTTCAGAAGAGAGTGGCAAGGACAAAGACAAACCGAAACCATGAAACCACTGAAATAACAGTAAGGCATCACTGAAGGAACTGAGGATATTTAGCCCAGAAAGGAGAAACATTGGAAAGAATGATTAACTTTCTTCAGAGATGTGATAGACTCCCAAGAAAAAAAGGAAAACTAGGTAATGATACCAGCCCACATCCACTGAATACGTACTATGCGCCGAGCATCATCTATTTATTTTACATACTTTTTCTCATGTACTCTAAACATCGGTCCCATGATGTAAGTGCTATTATTCCCATTCTACAGTCGAGGAAAATTCAGAAAAGTTGAGTAACTTGCCGAAGGTCACAGAGTAAATGGTGGAGTCAGGATACAAAGCCAGAAAGCCTGACTCCTGTGTCCGTGACTTAACCACCATCCACAGACACGTCCCCTGGGCAGCCCTCAACAGAGCAATGGTTGAAAGTTAAAGGGAGGCACTTCTGAAGGCAACACGAGGAAGAATTTTTAAATAACTGGAGGTTTTCAACAACAAATATCAGGTAAGAACTTTGGCTGGTAGTGAGCTACATGCCACTAGAGAGATTCAAGCAGAGGACGCACACAGTATAACCTAGAACAGTCTGCAGGGAGCGCTGTAGCAGCAGCACCTGGGAACTTGGTAGGTATACAGCTTCTTGGACGCTACGCCAGACCTACTGAATCGGAAACTCTGCAGCTGGGCCCAGCCGTCTGTATTTTCACAAGCTCTTCTGGTGCTTCTGATACATTCTCAAGTTTGAGAACCACTGGCATAGAATTTTCTGTACACTTCCAGGGACTGGACTAGATGCTGCTGCAGTCCCTTCCACTTCTGAATCCCCACAATTCTACAGAAGGAAGATAAACATGTGATTCAATATCCATCCAGTTTTCCTTTTTTTTTTTTT